TCTACAATTATTAGATCAGTGTTCATTAAATTATAAAATCTTGTCTGTTTTCTTAACCTTTATATGTATTATACATTAGAAACAAGTTTACGAATACACGAGCGATAATCGCTTATAGATTATTTATATCTAAGGTATATCTAAATGCATTCGACATTAAAAAGTGCCTAAACACTTGACCTTTGGCAAAGACAAAAACAAAATTGGAAAAAATGCCTTTAAATCAATTTGTGGGTGGCCCTGAAAAGGGCCTTTAATCGTTCTCGCGGTGGGACGTCTGAACTAGTAGTTGGTAATGGCGCCACACATCGGACAGTGGACTGCTCTTATGTTCGGTGATGGGTCATAAGCACAGAATCTATGAAACATAGCTTCACAAGGACAGAAAACCCAACCCACTTCATCACCAGTTTCATAGGGCGGCTGTGCAAGATTACAGATGTCACACAAACGGTTCTCTTCATCTTCTTCATTTTGGATGTCCCGTTCTGTTAACTCTTCTGAGTTTATAGAAACTACGTCATCGTTACTTAACGTTTCATCCAAATCGACATTTCCACGGTTCATCAACTGCGTTGTAAAGTTAGTCGACATGCTTGTTCCAATGTACAACTGCGGTTCAGCTTGTAAGTTCAACGGCGTTGGTGTTAGTCTACCGTGAAGTTCATGATAACACTGGCTATAAAGTGAACTGCATTGTTCCTCAGACAGTCGCCTGACTAACGCAATCACTGTATTCTTCATGCTCGGCTGGCTCAATTGCATTGGGAAATAATTTTCAACTGCAATATGAGTCAGATAACCATCATAGTGTAACCACCTGTCACAAATTGACTGTACGTTCACATCGGTGTTACTGTGTGTGCAGTAAGCCAATATGTGACGGCATGGTATTCCGTTTTCAATGAAGAATGGACACGAACACCGGCTAGTATCGATGTGTACGTAGTACGTCCTCGTGGCGTCCATAGCGGTGAATAAATCTTCCGACAATGCAGACTGCGTTATAGGAATGCGAAGGTGTCGCTTCAGTAGTTGACAGGCAACTGGTGTCAGTCGTTCCTGAAGTCGACGTAATTCTGGCTCCTCACCAATATCGGCTTTCCCCCGACAATCCATTGAATATTTATGTAACCTTGCTTCCATCCAATATCCAGTACGAAGCAGCACATTGAAAATGGATCTGAGAACCGGTGTTTTCCTATTAAGGTGATACATCTTCAAGACTCGGTGACTGGTCTCGACGAAGTTCGTATTGTTCAGTTCAAAGAGAGTGGATGGTGGTCGAAAAGCAGTGGACCATTTGTGTTTCCGTGGTAGAAGGTGGTCTCTGACGTATCTACCAAACGTTCCGTCAGACATTTCGATTAACGAAAGTACGTTGTTAAAACTACAAAATCATGTTATGTAGATTTTGATTTACCTTTCAACCGTTCGAGTGAACATCAGGCGAAAGAACAGTTGTACAATTTCTGATCGCACCCTCTACAATAACGGTTACTGGGTTAATGTTAATGAACCAAACACTTACCCTCTTTATCACATTCCGAACAAGGTGTACGCGACACAGAATATGGTGTGCATCCGGATACACCTGCGTAATAGCAGCAGCAATTGCAGGTGAATCATCGGTCACAATGCCTACCAGCTGTCGACTGTTGGTACACCGTTGGAAAAAACGCAGGAACGCAGAAATGAATGTCGACGTTTCGCGACTTAAAAAGGCAACGCACATGGGTATTGCCTTAGAATTCATATCCAGGGCAACGATTTGATATAAATGGACGTTCTCGTTATTCGTTTTGTACGTCCCGTCAAAACCAATTACGTCACAAAAGTGACCGGCCAAATTCAATTGCTCAGCAGTCATGAAGAAGAAATACGATAGACAGTTCTCATCGTCCAATTCGTATTCGCAAAGCCCACCCAAGGATGTTATGTGAGCTTTCAATTTCCCGTAATCACCTATAGTGTACATTATAAATTGGCAAATTGCGTACCAGGAAGGTTCGCGTGTGAGAACACTTTGTACCGCATATTACAGACATCTTGATCAGTCAGACGTTTCCCATAAGATTGGTAAGCAAAATTCATTATGTGGAATGCAGCGGTACCGGAAATCTGCAGCGGTCTCAAAGTTTCAAACTCTTCATCCGTTAACCTGCGCACCCATGAATTACCTTGGTACCTCAGGGAATTGCACTCGTGATTGTGATGCACATTCCCACGTACAACAGTCCAATAGCCGTCTATAATCTTACAAAACATGAAGGCCGGACATTGGGTGTTCATAGAAGCCCTTCGTTAAAAAAATTATAGAATCATTTACCAAATTACCTCCTCCGTCTAATACGTTGTGACGAACCGCTAGATCATATACGCCCATTTCGCCAACACACAAACTTAATGTACGATTTTTGATCTCTGCCAATATGCGAATCTCTCACTACATAATGACTGTAAGTCGATCTTTCAAAATTTGTGATAGTGGTCTTTAACGCTTCAACCGATGGAAACGCAACGAGAAACAAGGTAGTCAAAAAGACTTCCTCCATTTCCGTTACGTGAGAAACACCAGCGTTTGTACTCGGCACGTTACTCTGCTCCATAATGACGATTGAAATTGTGCTTCGTCAACAAGTACTGATAATTTATAACAATTTTCAAGACATAACTAACCAATTAAATCTAATTTTTGAAACTAGCTATTTCATTGGGCGAAACACGGGATGAAAAATATTGTAATTTGGGGGTGAAAATTTTTTTATTCGGGTGGGTTTTTTTTAAAAAAAATGGCCGGTCGGACAATATTATTCCGTTTTCATGAATTCAAAAAACAAGAATTTCATATTCTTGTTTTATATTGAAAGTACCTGAAACCAGAACTATGCGTACGTAAGAAGTACGTCTGATCGTCAACTAAGCCTTCATTGTGATTCATAACTACTGATTATATCAAGGTATTCATTTGCACAGCTATATAACTATTATTGACTGCTACAATGTGATTGTAGCAGTCATAAAAATTGTCGTATAATATTTTCAAAAATAAAAAATTGTGTAGCGAACAATCGTTTTCAATAACTTCATCATCACACTATACAGTTATAAGCCCATAATTTTTATAATTTATAAAGGCCAACAATAAGGCATTGCATTAATGAATTTGACAATGTAATGTGTTAACAATGGTTAACGTTAACATCTGTTACGACGTATATATATATATATATATATATATATATATATATATATATATATATATATATATATATACTTACAAATTGTAATACTTGCAAATTAGAAAGGTCATTCAATAATGGCCTGGATTATTTGCAGTAAAGTGTTTAGTCACAATAAGTGGAAGAGCATTATAGGAAAATTTAAAATGCAAAAAATTTTGTGTCAATGAAATACATAGTATGGGAATTGAATCTTGTCAATTGACATAATAATAATAATAATAATAATAATAATAATAATAATAATAATAATAATAATAATAATAATAATAATAATAACAATAATCATAAGGACAATAAATAATAATAACAAATTGTAAATGTTCATTGATACAGTTGACCTTATTCATATTTATACGTTTAATGTCGATAGATATTTGTTGAGTCAGTCAGATGAGGTAGGCTTGTTCATTTACACTTCATGAAACTGATATTTCAAATGCTTGTCAAAAATGGTTACATTCGTAATGTCTAGACATTGCAGGTTTCATATTACGGTTAACAGTATTCACACATGACTGATTTAACACACTAGTTTTTATTGCGACCAAGAAATTAATTTTAAAACACAGAACTACAAATAATTTACAAGTGAAAACAATAAACCGTTTCAATGGATTTCCAAATTAACCACATTTAAATCTAACGTCCAATTCTCATTATGAATGACCATTTACAAAATAATCGTTTACTAAATATTAAGTGCCTATTTCGGTTAAATTTATTACTACTTTCATATACTGTCAAAGTCAGTTCATTCAATGATGGTCTACGGTTGCTTCACCTGAATTATACATATTGCAATCAGTAATTTATCATGATGATTTATTGTTATGTTGATTTATTTCTCCGATTAACAGACCATGTGTTACAAAAAAACCTATGCACACACTTTGATGACAGTTTGTTTATTAATTGGGTATTCAACATTAGACTACCGACCTAATTTAGTAATCACTATTATCAAATATTCAAACCGGTTTTCAGTTGCTTTTTTCCAAAAAAGCTTTCTTCGAATGCGATACATTTACTTAATCATGTTAAGATAACTAACGACTTCAATTCAAGGTATACTTGATCGGAAAACAACAATTTATCCCAATACACATTCACTAACAGTAGGATTACACGGTAATGCAATTAAGTTGGTGTCTTTTTCTTCAAAAGAATAAAAAAATTTCCAGGACTAAGATTACACAAAAAAAATTATTCATTATCATTAAATTTCAAATGTAAAAAATGAAAATTCTGATATCCAATCACAGCTCTAGATGCGGTTTCAATTTCAACTAATCAGATTACAGAGATGAACAGTTTACGACTAATAACAAAATTATTAAAGGTAACAAAATGTTTGTTCATTATCACTTGATCACACACTTGCAAAACAAGTCCACCAATCAACGATACCTAAATTTTTCATTCACACCCCACAATTTTTTTAAAATGGGTAGTAGGGAATCATATTGGCCGGTCACTTAATGTCAACCCCATTTCTCTATCAATCACATGCACTTGCCATTTTGGAGATTTTTTAATTGACACAACGTGTCCTTGTCCATTAGCGTCTTTTGATTGGTTCACTATCACATTTCCTTGAAAATAAGTTCGGCTATTAGCGTTAAAATGACCCCCACATTGTTCTGGATAAAGTTACTACATTACCTCTCAACGAATATAATTGATAGTTGATGTATTTTAATGGCTCTTTTCTTTTTTCATCCTTCCTTCTTTCATACGATATATATACGTATAAAGTCATGGGACCTTATATTCATGAGATATTATGCAATCAACTTGGATTAAATTCAGAGTTAGCTATTAAATCTCAACCATTAGAAGATTTTGGCGGTGGTCATCCTGATCCCAATTTGACTTATGCAGCAGATCTTGTCCAAATGATAGTGGCTGACTCATCAATTGCAATGGCAGCCGCTTTTGATGGTGATGGTGATCGAAATATGTTGATTGGTCGACACGGTTTTTTTGTATCACCATGTGATTCGTTAGCTGTGATTGCAGATAATACAGATTGTATCAAATATTTTCAAGAGAATGGTGTTCATGGATTTGCACGAAGTATGCCTACCAGTAGGGCACTTAATCTGTAAGTTTTGTCTTATGCCTATTTAACTGGGTTATATCAACTCCATGTCATCGATTTCAAACCATGAACCTTCTGGGTTTGTTAGAGTCATTAACGTGAATATCAACACATGAATGTGCCAGGGACATCCAGTTGAATAGGGTTAAACACGCTTGTTGGGTGTACTATACGTACTAAAAGACTAAAAGCCGTGTCAGGCCAATCATCTTACTATGCACCTATGACAAATAAACTGATCAGTTGTAGCGGAACTATAAAACCTTAATAATGCATTCATACTCGGTATATAATTTCGCGGTTATCTGGGCTCATTAGTTCAGTATTCAGTGGTTGGAAGCAGTTGTTGGCAGGATGACATGACTTAGTATTTATAGCCAGATAAAAATAAGCTACAGACATGTGATGTGTAGAATAAGCATACAGACACATACGCTCATATAAAAATACTCAAAGTTAATAAGCGAATAATTGACAAGGTCAAAGTGTGACTCAAAAAGAATGAATAAACTGGTCTGTCTGGAAGTTAAAATAACCCATTTCGGCTTGACATAGTACTAGACACTACAAGTATATCTGCTGTCCAGTCGCTTAAACTAGCGACCACAGAATGATGCATTGATATTTGACCTGACAGATAGTAGTTTTGATTCCCAATACCATCATGCTGACACATCCATGTGATGAGTCCAATATGAAATGTAATGCACATGTTGGATTCTACTGTGAGGCAATATTCAAAATAATAATCATTTAGTGTATTATTTTGCTGTATAAATTCTCCCTGTATTAATGAAAACCGGAGTTTAGTTGTATATCATCTTTCTATTTGGATGTATTGTATTACAGTGTATGTAAAAGTCGATCAATGCAGTGTTACGAAGTTCCAACAGGATGGAAATTTTTCGGTAATTTAATGGATGCTAAATTATGCTCTTTATGCGGTGAAGAAAGTTTTGGCACTGGTTCTGATCATATACGTGAAAAAGATGGTTTATGGGCATTACTTGCATGGTTGTCTATTTTGGCTAAACGTAGTCAAATTGGTTTGCCAGTAGATGTCGAGTCAATTGTAATGGAACATTGGAAGAAATACGGAAGATATTTTTTCACTAGGTAGGTTACTTTCAATAGTAGTTTAGAACATTAGAAGAATAATTGTTTATCAAAAGGAATTACACAGCGTTTACATATTGCATTTACACAGTCTTCGATCGTCAATTTTCATCTCGAGGTCTATCCTACAATCCAAAGTGTCTTCTCGTCTAGTCAACAAGTGTTTTGCTTACCTCGTGCTTTCAATGTATTGAAACTCTTAATCACGTCTGACGACGGTGACAACTTCGACGTCACTTTCCACAACATACTACTTACAAGCTATCTTGTAGGTAACGTCCTCTATACTCGCCTACTTCCATGGAATTGTTGAACCTGAAGTCGTGCTGACCTCCGTGGTTCTTTTGTCACCGGCTCCGTTCTGGTAATCCACTAAAGCCACTTTTGGAGCTGGCTAGTATCCACGCGTTTCCCTTTGTTGCCTTTCCGGATGGTGTATGCCGGTCCTAGTATCCTGGTAACTACGTATAGTTCTTCCCACATGAACAGTAGATTTCACGAGCCAAGTCCACATCCTACTATATCCTTTCGTCATCTACATTTCACCTTATCTGAGATCTTCTACTTTTCCCCTTCATACTTGTTATAACTTGTAGCCTGTGTGCCCTGTTAATGTATAACGTAATGATACCGCCAATTAGAGAACAGTGAATTATCGATCGGATCAATGACGCACAAAACCCTTGCGTGCAGTCTAGAGTACTTATCAGTCCTGCTTCCTGCCTAGTCCAACCAACCAACCAAGTCCAGAACACAAATCTCAGGCTCTGCGATATAAATCATTTCTTTCGAAAATACTGGGTTTATATACCATCCAGACAGACCACATCGTACCATAAAATAGGAAACATCATTTGTACAAGATTTAGCCAAATGTGACTGTGAATGTGGGAGATAGTAATTAATAGACAGATCATAACTCAAGAATGGTAAGTCGTATAATAATAGTTCACAGGTCAAAATAAAGGTCATAATAAGAAGGTCATGAATATGAACAGTTTAGTTATTTAACAATTAAACAATAAAAATATACGCATACTATTGGTCCATAAATGGATCCCAAAATTTACCATTCATTATGCTTATCGGAACATAACAATGCTGTTTGAATCTCCTTACATCCGTCTATTGTTTCTGTCGCACATTTCTCACCGCTTGTTCTCATTCGTCCTGCCACTTTGTGAACAACCATCATTGCTACTGTGGCCACGTCTTATTGTCCCCTGGCAGTCGCGTTCTTTTGCTGTACATCAACTGGAACAGCGACTTTCTAGTGGTTCCTTGTACTGCGGCGCGATGAATTAGCAATACCATCGGTAGTTCCATCTCCCAGGTTTCCCTTCTTGCTCTTAGCCAATTCTTTAATGTGCCATTATTTTGTTCTGTTAGCCCTTTGGTATGGTGTTGTTCGGATTCCCTCGATATCCAGCTGACCTAGGCACTATGTAAACTCGTCACTCTCAAAACATAGATCTCGATTTGTTAATATCCTTTTTGGAACGTCGTGGTTCGCCACAATGTGTCTAATTATTGCATTTGTCACTGTCCTTTGGCATTTGTCAAGAATCGCAACCACGTCCAGTCAACATGTGGCGTACTTTCTCGTCACTAACAGGTACTGATGAGGACATAACTCCCTGATGTCCACCAACCGTAGACCGAATTACTGATAACGAACGGTTGTTCGTGGATCAAACTGCATTGTGGTGACTCCGAAAACCACTTCGGGTAAATGATCTTTCTCGGTTCATGATAGATAATCTGCAACCATATTTTCCTTCCCCGGTACTTGATCCATCGTAAAATCATTCTCCTGTAGGCGCAATGACCATCGTGATAATTTTTCTCGAGGGTATTTCGCTGTTTCTATCCATTGTAGCGTCTTATGATCTGTCTAAATGTGGATTCGAGACCAAATAGATACGATCTGCGTTTGTCTACCTCCCAAACGATCGCTAACCATCCTTTCTTGATAGTTGAGTACTTCCGTTCGATAGGCATTAACACGTGGTTGGTGTACTCCACGACTCTCCTATTCCGTCCGAGCACCATCTCTATTCCCTAACCACTGGCGTCCGTGGCCACTGTAAACGGTTTTCTGGTTATGAGTAATTTCAGCTATATGTCTGTCATTTAATTTCTGTTTGATTGGATCAAACATTCTTTGCACCTCTTCGGTCCATTCGAATTTTTCGTCACTCAAAAGTCTCAATGAGTAGAAAATTGGATTTTCTGACGTTTCGTGACTTAGTGTAAGTCACTTCTTCAGAGAATAAATAACCAAATTAAAATTAATCCAGGTTTAAATAGTACTATTTAAACCTGGATTAATTTTAATTTGGTTATTTATTCTCTGAAGAAGTGACTTACACTAAGTCACGAAACGTCAGAAAATCCAATTTTCTACTCATTGGGATCTTACAAATATATTATTTTTATTTATAACAATCAACCCAATGCTCAATTTATTTAAAATTATCAAACCTTGGTAATGACACCTACTCAAAAATCTGTTGAGTGGTGCTGCGATTTCGTTAAAGTTTTTCACGATGAATCTATAAAATAGATATATATATATAGTAGTGAGAATAACGAGAACTACTGACTATTGAGGAACTGTCTTGAAATGGCGATAAAAGGGTTTACATGAAAGTGTCGTGGATTTCAGGATTGAAAGGAAGATAAATTGTGGATACGTCTACACCATTGTGAACGATTCAGAGCCATGTCATCTAAAGTTTCTAACCAGTGATCGTGGTTATTGTGTGGACCTCAACCAGTTAGTCTGCATCTACCAACATGGCTCAGACCAACACCCAGTGGCTTCATGGAATGATGCCATGTTTTGGTTTGACCTCCCCTAACTCTGCCAACGTACTCTTATAGCATCAGGCATCGCTTGCTGAAGTAAGCAATGATTAGGCATAGGTAACACATGTTTGGGGTGCGTTTCTCCCCCTTTACTATCGTAACCAATAGTTGGAGACTCGGTAACATGGCTCAGAATCGATCATAATGACGTCGGTGTATACACTGTTTGTCTTCCCTTACAAATTGAGTTTAAATTACTTCATACCTTTCTACGAACTAATTTTTTCTCCCTTTATTATATTCTTTTATGCGATCGTGGATGTGGACTACTGAGGAGTCCCATGCTGGGATGGAGCAGCCGTCCAGTGCTTCCAGGTTTTCGACTCATGAATTGATCTAATATATCAGTACAATCTTCACAAAACCACATTTCTGTTAATAATCATCATTTGCTCACTAGTGACTGACTTCAAGTGGTAATTCCTGAAGTTCTTGTGAGAATTCGTTACCATTAGAGTTCAGCCGTGTCTGTTGTGACGGAGTGACTCGCTGAAGATAAATAATTTTGTTGAATATAAGAAAGGAGCTCATTATACAAATATTTCTACGATTCATATTTTTTTAGTTAAGTTGGATACTAGCTAACAATGCGTCCTGTTTGGGACTCATCAGTTAGATGTACCTGCATCCTAATGTTGATGTTCACATCGGTACTCGAAAACATTGCCTTTAGCTTCAAAAGGCCAACGCGTTATCCGTTGAGCTACTGAGCCTAAATAGCCACTCATTTTTGCAACGTAAATCAATTGAATGTTTATACCTTCCCGTTGATACTAACTACTGTAATTGATCAGTCACTTTTGGTATATGTACATTCTGAGCGGTCTGCTTCGATATTATTTCGGATCCACCTATCCCAAAGGTGACTGATCAATTTTAGTTCTTAACATTTGAGGTAAATGTACGAACTAAATTCTTATTTTTGCCATAAATCTTAAATGTATACCTCCAACAATAAGTTAACATGATCGTTTATCGTATTTCTTTCGCACATATGTTTAATATAATTATGGATGCTTATTTTCAATGATTATGTCTTGTCCTTCCTTAATTTAATGTATTGATCTGTAAGGCTTTGTTTTTAGTATCGTGATAAACCCGAACATACATTCAATACAATGCTGGTAACAATAATCATCAGGCTATTCATTTCTATTTATCGATGAATAAAACTTATTTTCATGGGTTTTCACATGACCCATTCAATGAACATAATGGCTATTTATTTATTTACTTACACTTGACTGTTTATATCCTCGCAATTATATAGTTCATTTTCTCTCTATAGTGAATATTTCATATATATATATATATATATATATATATATATATATATATATATATATATATATATATATATATATAGGTGATTGAGGTAATCCGCACCGTTTTCAATTCTCAGCGGACGTGTTGTATCCAGCACTTCCGGTCAATTTCCTATTCATTTAGTCAGTGCATCCTACATTACTTACGCCTGTTACTCCTAATGGAGCATAGGCCGCCGACCAGCATTCTCCAACCCACTCTGTCCTGGGCCTTCTTTTCTAGTTCCATCCAATTCTCGTTCATTTTTCTCATGTCTATTTCAGCTTCCCGGCGTAATGTGATCTTTGGTCTTCCTCTTTTCCTTTGGCCTTGAGGATTCCATGTGAGGGCTTGTCTTGTGACGCAGTTGGGTGCTTTCCGCAATGTGTGTCCTATCCACTTCCAGCACTTCTTCCTGATTTCTTCCTTCGCTGGAATCTGGTTTGTTCTCTCCCACAGTAGGTTGTTTCTCATAGTGTTTGGCCAACGGATCCGAAGTATTTTAAGTAGACAACTGTTAATCAACACCTGTATCTTCTGGATGATGGCTTTCGTAGTTCTCCAGGTTTCTGCCCTATACAGTAGGACTGTCTTGACATTTGTATTGAAAATCCTGACCTTGGTGTTGGTTGACAGTTGCTTTGAGTTCCAGATGTTCTTCAGTTGTAAATATGCTGCTCTTGCTTTACCGATCCGCGCCTTCACATCTGCATCAGATCCACCCTGTTCATCAATGATGCTGCCCAGATATGTAAAGGTTTTTACATCTTTCAAATCTTCTCTGTCTAGTGTGATTTGATTGTTGCATGCTGTGTTGTATCGGAGAACCGTGCTCTTCCTTTTGTGTATATTGAGACCTATTGCTGCTGAGGCTGCTGCTTCACTGGTCGTCTTCTCCTGCATTTGTTGTTGCGTTTGGGATAGAAGGGCCAGATCATCTGCGAAGTCTAGATCGTCCAACTGCATCCTAGATGTCCATTGTATCCCGTGTTTCTCTTCAGATGTTGACGTCTTCATGATCCAGTCGATCACCAGAAGAAAGAGAAAGGGTGATAGTAAGCAACCTTGCTTGACACCGGTCTTCACTTCGAACGACTTTGTCAACTGTCCTCCATACACGATTTTGCAGTTTAATCCATCATATGAATTCTGTATAATATTGACTATCTTCTGAGGCACGCTGTAGTGTCGAAGAAGCTTCCATAGTGTTGTCCTGTCCTCGCTGTCAAATGCTGTTTCGTAGTCAATGAAGTTGATGTAGAGTGATGAATTCCATTCAATTGATTGTTCCACAATGATCCGTAGAGTTGCGATTCGGTCTGTACACGATCTATCCTTACGGAATCCTGCCTGTCGGTCACGAAGCTGGACGTCTACGCAGTCCTTCATCCTTTTTAACAATACCCTGTTGAAGACGTTTCCTGGTATTGAGAGAAGAGTGATGCCCCTATAGCTATCAAAGTTGCTGAGATCGCCTTTCTTCGGTATTTTGATCAGATGTCCTTCTTTCCAGTCTTTTGATACTTGTTCCTCATCCCAAATCTTATTGAAGAGGATGTGAAGTATCCTTGCAGTTGCCGCTACGTCTGGTTTTAGTGCCTCTGCTGGAATGTTGTCTGGTCCTGATGCTTTGCCACTCTTGATTTGTCTGATGGTCATGCATATCTCTTCAATTGTTGGTGGGCCAAAATTGATTGGGAGGTCAGTGGGTGCTGCTTCGATATTGGATGGGTTCAGTGGAGCTGGTCGATTCAAGAGTTCTTTAAAGTGCTCTGCCCACCTGTTTCATTGCTCTTCGATGTTGGTGATTACCTCAGCTTCCTTGCTTTTCACTGGTCGTTCAAGTTTGCGGCGATTTCCAGAGAGTTTCTTTGTTATGTCATACAGTTGTCTCATGTTTCTTTCTCTTGCAGCCTTTTCCGCCGTCTTTGCTAGATCTTCCACATATTTACGTTTTTCGGTTCTGATGCTCTTCTTCACTTGTTTGTTTACTACTGTGTATTCAACTTGTGCCTTGGCTTTTTCTGCTCTTGTTCGACTGGTATTGATTGCTGCCTTCTTGTTTCTCCTTTCTTGAATCTTATCCAGTGTATCAACAGTGATCCATTCCTTGTGATGGTGCTTCTTGTGACCCAGGACCTCATGACAAGTTGAAGTGATTGCCTCTTTGATCCCCTTCCAGTTGCTCTCCACAGTAGTTCCTTCTCCATTGAATAGATCATGAATGACCTGGAACTTGTTGCTGAGGTCTATCTTGAATTTGTTGAGTTTGTTAGTATCGTAAAGAAAGGCCGCACTGAACTTTTGTGATATTGTCCGCCCCATTGTCCAGTGCTTTTAGAGTTTCAATTTCATCTTGGCGACCAGCAAGTGATGATCTGATGCTATATCAGCTCCTCTCTTGGTTCTCACGTCCTCTGTAGTCCTCCTGAACGTTTTGTTGATGCAAATATGGTCGATTTGGTTTTGCGTGATGTGATCCGGTGAAGTTCATGTGGTTTTGTGAATGCATTTATGTGGGAATATGGTGCCGCTTATGACCAGCTTATTGAAGGCACATAGGTTTGCAAATCTCTCACCATTTTCGTTCCTTCCTCCCAGTCCTTGTCGTCCCATGATGTCTTCATATCCAGTGTTGCCCGTTGGCATTGAAGTCTCCCATCAGAATGGTCAGGTCCTTTGTTGAGCACTTCTCGATGATTGACTGCAGCCTATCGTAGAATTGATCTTTAGCGTCTTCATTGTAATCGTTGGTAGGCGCATAGCATTGGATGATGTTCATTGAAATGCCCTCTTTTTTTGTTTTGAATGAGTCTTTGATGATCCTTGGTCCATGAGATTCCCATTCTATAAGTGCATTTTGTGCTTGTTTGGACAGCATCAATGCAACTCCTTGTGTATGTGGGGCATTTTCTTCTTCATGGCCGGAGTATAACAGAAGCTCTCCTGAAGTTAGTCGTTGTTGTCCAACTTGCGTCCAATGTGTTTCACTGATCTCAAGCACCTCTATGTTGTATCTCCTCATTTCTGCAGCAATTTGGAGGGCTCTACCGGTGTCCCACATTGTACGAACATTTCATGTACCTAAATAAATAGTCGTTCTGGTTGTCAGAAGGGGCATCGGCCTCGTAACTTCCAAAGGAATTCGGCTTTCATCATGAGGCGTCATAGCTCTTCTAAATGAAGACCTTCTGACTCCCAGGGCAGAGTTTAAAAGGTTTGAATAATTTTTTCTGGTTAGCGTTTTTATAGCGAGTTAGTTTTCTATGGGATGGGGACGCTAACCCCATGCCCAACCCCCCTCCTTTATCCGGGCTTGGGACCGGCAGTAGCCCTCGGAGGGACTCCAGGTGGAGTTGCATCCTACATATTAGAGAGTAAATTTCCCCGACAATTTCATATCAAGTGTTTGTGGTTACCCCTAACTGTTTGTTATGGAAATGTCAATGAAATACAGCCTAACTTGTCGAATGCAAAACCTAAACGCAGTCGAATTTTCGGCCTCAATTGAAATCTGTGGTGAAAATCACACTTACCGAATAAGCAAGATGTAATGCATTCATTAAACATAGTAAAGGTCGTAAATAACGTTTGTCACAACAGGGGGGATTTTTAATTATTAACCAAACTAAAACATTACACTTATCGTGTGCCAAATACCAGATAAAATCACAGGTCAATTATAACCCTTTATATTAATGTGTCCTGGTACATATATGTATCATTATATCTCACATCAACAAACTGAGAGTAAAATATCTGTGTATTACTACTGTGTAAACCTTACCTTCCGTGAAATGTTTATGATCACTAATAACTTATTGCTGCTACTAATTTATGACTGTTTAGTTTTTCAGTTCTTATACATTCTACCGGTTGAGATCTGTGATTCGAATGTTACAATAGTTAAATGCTAAAATTGATATGGAGAGCCATTCAGAAGTAGCCTAACGAAAAGGTCAATCGATGGCAATCAGAAGTGACCTAAAGGTCATGTGCACTTCATTGACTGAGAAATGGATCAGTTTCTTAAGGGTTAGAGGGGCATATATATGGATGAGTACTTATATATTCTATTGGGTAGCTCAATATACTTTCTCACTCACTCTTGTGTTTGCGCTCAAATAGTCATTTGGAGGGATCAGCGCATAGCACACCGTGTATCGGTATCAGATTTCGGACACCGCCTGTCACAACAAAATCGGTCAATCTACACTGTCTGTCAAATAAACATGCTAACTAATTTCACAAAGTTCAGAGTAACGTTTAAATCACATCACTTTTTATCTTAATATATTTATTCTATTCTGACCGTTATTTAAAACATCTGTAATGAGTCTTTAACAGTTACTCTCCTCAGTCTCTTATTTATTGAAATTTTTCTGTCTTCTTCACTTTTTCACTGTGGTCATCGCCCTCTAATGGTGATGAATTCTCATGGGACCAAGAGTAATAAATACAGAAAGATAGAAGTGGAGGTATGTATAAAACACTGATTCAAGGTTCTAAAGAAAAGGTTAATTAAATGTAACAGTCATTTTCCATCGCTTGATAGCTAAGTAAAAACGAGTTGTAAAGGTTTTACAGACTCAAGATAGTGGACGCTTAATTGCAACCTTAGTAACTCAATTCTTTCATGAATTGAACAAATCTTTTGATCGACTGGTGTTAGACATATGAGGTGGTTCTCGACTGCCAGATACTTCTACCTATGAGATGTAAAAAATGTTTGGATTAGCGGTAGTCATGAAGACCTGTTTATGTGAACGCAGAGCTATGAGCATAACTGTTTCGGGCCAGTCATACACCATCTTTTTGTGTGTTGACTCAGTACTGCTTAGTACTATTCAAACTGTGACGGGAATTCGTAGAGCAAGGTGAGATAACCTATTTTCAAATTTGCCTTTCGGTTACCATTGCTTTTCATATTGGGAAGGTAGTATCCCGACAGATTCTGGTTGTCTAAGAGAAGCACCTTACTGCATCCAAACTCCTTTGCAGTTAGAAGTACGAATTCGCCCGCGAACCTCGAGTTTAATGGTTCTAATCTGACCCATCTCTAGCCGCTCTACTTGTTATAGTCAGGTCTAAGAAACGAGTTTGGTCACAACCCTCACACATATCAAATGAGATATGTGTGGCGCATATGTATTTGGTGCCTTCTTGTACCAATATCTATGTGTTAAAATAAATAAGAAAAGAATGTTCCAACCAATATAACTTGGTTGAGTTATTACGATGTTCAGGCCCATGTCATGGTAGCAGATATTCATCAGTCAACCAATATTTTGTTTATTTAAAAATTACAATCAACTTTCTAATTCATCAATATCAAGTATGTAGAAAACCAAAGCAAACAAATGATCCAAGAGTCAAACTTTGTCAGTCAAAAAATGCCAGTTACATTTTTTCTTTTATGATTGTCGTCCTTGTTGTAGGTACGATTATGAAAATTGTGAATCAAGTCAAGGTGATGAAATTATGAATGAATTAAAGAAATTAATTGACAATAATAGAATATCAGGTCATGTGTATACCACTGTCAGTGGACGACAGTTCGTTTGTGATTTTTGTGATAATTTTTCATATGTGGATCCAGTTGATGGAAGTCACACTACAAACCAAGTATGTGAAATTATATATTAACATAAACATAATCTTATGATTTCTGATTCAATTTTTATATCATTGATGTTCTAACGTTGACATCAGATCAGATTCAGTAAAGATAATTGCCTGTAACGAAGTGATTGAGCGAGAAGTGTTCTTGCTCTTAAATCGTTTGATTTTTGGCAAATAGATTGCATTTTCGAGTATAATTCTGTCCATTTCCTAAGTAGTGGCATAATTATTAAATCAGTCAGTGAGCTTCCAACCATTATTAGGTTGAGCGTGTTCAAATACTACTATATGTATAGATTGTTTAATGAGTTAGACAGTTGGATGATATCTTTGTATCAGATAATAATGGATGTACGTATAACGTATATATACATCCTTTTTGTATACCAGGTAGGGAAAAAGGGGAAATATGAATTTGTTTAATGTTTTTTTTGAGTTCTCAAATAATTATAATTCTTAATATATATGATCTGTTCACTTATGTACATTGTACCATAATCAAAATATTAGACGTGAATAAAATGTTAAATGATTTCGGTAGCATTTTGCATTCATTGAGTTAAATATTGTTTAATTAGATAGAGTAAGAAATTTTCATGAATTTTCTAGACGTTAACATGACGACACCAATCGTAAATGCAATCTCCTATATATTGATTTTTACACACACTTGATCATTTAACTAGAAAAAAGTCATATGTATGAAATTGACATAATTACATGGTATATTTCATGCTGAACATACCTAACGTTAATTCAATACAAAGAATATAATATCTTGAATAATAATCGTCATAATTCTTCTAAATGAAGACCTTCGAATTCCCAGGACAAAGTTTAAATGGTTTTAATTATTTTTTCTGGTTGGCGTTTTTTTAGCGAGTTAGTTTTCTACGGGATGGAGTCGCTAACCCCATACCCAACCCTCCTTTACCTGAGACCGGCATCAGCCCCAGAGGGGATCCAGGCTCAGCTGAATAATCACCACACTGAAATTAAAACAAATATTATAATGAGTAATTATCACATTGAATTAGAAATGGAAGTAATGTTGAATGAGATTCACAATTACTAAACAACGTAGTTTTGTCTTTTCGTCCCATCATACCACTTCTCGTTTTCAATTGAATACGTAGGAGTTAGTTTAACGTAGAGGATCCATTCGAAGGGTTGATATTCTCCGCTAGGATCTTGGCTGATCGTGTTCCAGTTTGTTATATTTCTCTCTTACGGCTATAACCCAGCTGTTCCTATTGCTTAGCAGTCTCGGACACCGGTTCACTCGACAAGTCCCCAAATCAGAACATGGTTGAACAGGAAAAGAGATTATGTCCCAAATAACAAGGTTAAATGGGAGTAAGTAAGTGCAGTAGCGAAAACGTTAGTATATCTATAGTTTCTCCACATGAGATTTCTAGTGTTCACTAAGTATTGACTAACGTTTAAATCACATCACTTTTTATCTTAATATATTTATTCTATTCTGACCGTTATTTGAAACATCTGTAATATTATTATTGTTATATCTTGAAAACTGATTTTTCGATATACCGCGTATAACAGAGCACTAGAACACCAAAACCCTTCCAAGTCCCAATAAGAAAACAGAAGACTAATGAAAGGAATATCATTCCAAACAGTGTCAATCATAGTACAAAATTGTCAGGTATTTATAGCTTTTAGTGAGAACGAAATCATCATTAGAGTCTTCCAATCCGCATACAGGGTATTATTAGCATTATCCAATCGGGAAGCTACACATTGGAATTCTAGAACATTCTTCCGAAAGGTGATTGGACGAGACGTCTTCGGCTCCTTCTGAGCCTCTTACAGCTTCCTCGAGTTCACCGGTGGTCCGTCGTCACACTTCCCCCCTTTAAAGTTCGTTGTGTAAGATTTTTTTTCTTGGATCCACCTGAAGCTTGGGTGTCGCATTCATCTTGCGGTCCATTGCTCGCGAGGGTTGTACAGCTTTCTCTCTGCGTCGTTTGTCTTTTCGATGTTTGCGCTCATGATGGTTCTTCTGAGATGAATCTACGAGCAATTGAAATGGGAGCAGGTTTTCTGTGACCACTGTACTATCATTTCTTTGCATTCGATTTATATGTCTTATGTATTTTCCGACACCTTTCCGGATTAGGGGTAACTCTGTAAGACATCAAGAACTTATTAATCACTTGTTCCGGGATACCCTCACCCCCCCCCTTTGACCAGAGCTCTTTTAATCGTATCCACGAATCTTTCTGCCTGGCCATTCGACTGACGATGGTACGGAGGAGATTGTAGATGCAATATGCCATTTTCGTTGCAAAAGCGTTTGAAGGCGGATGACATAAACTGAGTACCATTTTCGGTCACTAGGATCTCTGGAAACCCCCCCCAAAAAAAACAATCCTGACAATCTTCTTATTGTACTCTCTGAAGTCGTATTCGGCATGTCATATACTTCTGGCGATTTTGTGAAAGCATCTACAACAACTAAGTAATTCCTGCCTTGTATTGGTCCGGCGAAATCAGCATGTATTCTTTGCCAAGGCCCGTCCGGTTTAAGCCATGGTTGTTGTTCAGCTCTCGTTGGATTCTTTTCAGCCTCTAGACAGGACCAACAACTGCGACATTTTTGCTCTATATCATGGTCCATTGACGGCCAGTATGCATAGCTGCGAGCTAGTGACTTCATTTTACTTATCCCCGGATGCCCGCTGTGCAACTGTTTAATGACTTGGTGTCGAAGATTTCTGGGGATAACGATACGGTGGCCAAACATTATACATGAATCGACAACTGTTAATGATTCTCGTCGACGAAAATATTGTAAGAGATCTCCGTGTAGTCTAGATGAAGGCCATTTGTTGAGTATGCAATGGCGAACAATCTTCAACACATTATCCTTCTTGCTAGCCGCTTTAATGGCTTCGAATGTGACCGGGAGTCCGGAAACTGCGTCTAACAATATTTTGTGAACCTCAGCCTCGACATCTATAGCAGCTACAAGCACCTCTTCTTGTTTTTCATGCAGACCAATCAATCTTGAGAGTGCATCTGCCTGTCCGAAATCCGTTGTTGGTTGATACTTTATCTTGAAATTATAGCCCAGCAGTGTGGTAGCCCATCGCTGTAGCAGGTTTGCTCTATATACCGGGATACCTTTTTTACATCCAAAAACTGTCAGTAACGGTTTATGGTCTGTAAGTAAGGTGAATTGTCTGCCAAACAACATCTTGTGGAACTTTTTTACAGTAAATATAATCGCGAGGGCTTCTTTCTCTATTTGACTGTAGTTTCTTTCAGTCATAGTCATCGATCTCGCAGCGTGAGCGATTGCTTTCTCAGAACCGTCAGGGTAGGCATGTGGAATTACTACTCCAATTCCGTAGTTCGACGCATCTGCAGCGACTATAATTGGAAGATCGGGATCATAGTGTGTAAGGAGAAGGTTCGATGATAGAAGCTGCTTCAGTTTTAGTAATGCTTCCTGGCATTCAGTTGACCAGAACCATTTAGTATCCTTTTTCAGTAAGCAATTAAGAGGAGCACGATGGCGATGCAGATCTGGAAGAAAAACTCCATAATGACTAACCATTCCCAAGAAAGAACGTAAAGTTGATACATCTGTCGGTGGAGGCATGGACTTAATGGACTCGACATTTTCAGGATCAGGTTTTCTCCCGTTTTTATCGATTATGAATCCCAAATACCGGACTTGCTCCATGTAAAAATCACATTTTTCGGCACGCAGTCTGAATCCATAATCTGCTATGCGTCTGAGAACCGTATCCACCTTATTCTCTAAATCAGCATAGTCTGTATCCATGATCAATATATCATCGAGATAAGCCGCGGTACCAGGAATGTCTTGTAACTAGTGTCCATAACTTGTTGGAAGATTGAAGGGGCGGTCTTTACTCCAAAAGGAAGTCTGTTATATCGGAACAACCCCTTGTGAGTGTTTATTGTCAAGTAATGCTTACACTCATCCGCTACCGGAATCTGTAGATAAGCGTCTGATAGGTCTAATTTCGCAAAATACTTACCCCCATTCAGTTTTGCAAATAAATCCTCTGCTACCGGCAATGGGTATTGATGGTCTTCAAGTGCTTCATTTAATCCAGTCGAATGGTCTGCACATAACCGGATACTTCCATTAGGCTTTTTAACAATCACTATTGGTGCTGCCCAATCAGAAAAGTTTACTGGTTCGATTATTCCACTTCTTTGCAGACGCTCTAATTCTTGTTCAATAATAGGTAGTGCTGCATAGGGTACCGGACGTTTTGGTCTGAAGACAGGGGTGACTCCCGGTTTAAGAAATAATAGTGCTTTTACCTTTTTACATTCCCCCAACTCTTCCGTAAACGCTTGACTATGTCTTTCCAATACAACACTCTTTAGATCCTTTTCCACCGGTTTATTGGTTCTCACTGCACTGCATATGTAGTTAATGGGGTGATTTGCTAATTGTAGTATTTCTATCAAATCTAGACCTAGCAAATCTAGTCCTGGGTTCTCTGTGAGATATAAAGTTGCATTCGTTTTCGCGTTTCCTTTCGAAACTATACAGCAAACTTCTCCAACAATATTTAGTTTTCCTCCAGATGCGCTGTGAGCTAACTGGGTTGTTGGGAGCACCTGTGGTTTACCGATAAGATTCCAAGTTCTTCGACTAATAAGTGTGATGTCAGAAGCGGTGTCGAGTTGCAGACGGGCACGCTTTTTATTTATATCCAAGTTTACATCCTTTCTTTGGCGGCAAATTCGTGCTCGATTATGTGATACCAATATTTTGATAGTTCGAGCACTAAATCTGTATTTCTTCGAGTAGGGCTTCAAGGAATGTCGTTTATGGATTCTTTTTATACAGCAGTTTTCTTTATGTCCCTTCCGATGACATTTGCTACAACAATGTTCCTTATATGGGCAGAACCTTTTATAATGCCAACCCCCACAAGACCAACATGGAGATGAAGGCTGATTGTCTGTGCGCGATACCTCTCTTGAGCAAGAATCGTTCTTTCTGCTTACAGCACGAACATATGGCAAGTGGCCATTATTTTCGACCATTGAAGTGTCATGCTTTAGGTTTACCAATCTCTGACACTCTGTGGTTACTTCTTGTAGTGTCATATTCGGACATTGTTCAATTTTACTCAAGATTCTGGTTCTAATATCGGCATATTCGGGAGATTGGAGGCTGCACACAAACACGAGACACTTAAACTGGTATTCTGTCATTGCTGATAGTTTGAAGCGCTCACATTCACGGTTTACTAAACCCGCATGCTTCACCCAGTCATCATCACCTGCTTTTGTCATCTTGAGACATTGATAACGAATATTAAACAAGGATGACTGTTCAGCAAAGATTTGCGACAAAATTTCAATCGTTGCATCAAAAAAAATCTCTTGGATTCTTTGGAAGGATAAAGTTACTGTAACGTTCATGTTCAACAGTTCCAAGTTTTCGCAAGAGTATTCTGACCTTAGCGGCGTCATCAAGTTTTCTGAGGTCGACATTAAATAAATCTTCATATTTCTTGAACCAAGTTTCAAAAGTAATGCCGGCTGAACCATCAAAATTAAATTCATGGATAGAATTAACGATCTGGTCAACATGAGATTTGAAGGGGTCAACTGTAACTTCTTTTTGATCCAGGTTCATTTTCTGAGTTAGCATCTCCATCATGCGCATCTGGAACTGTTCAAAACGTTTTTCTTGGCGTTCCAGTAAGGCTTTAAATTGTTCAAAGGTAAATGACATATTGGTACAATAACCCGTCGCCAGATGTTATATCTTGAAAACTGATTTTTCGATATACCGCGTATAACAGAGCACTAGAACACCAAAACCCTTCCAAGTCCCAATAAGAAAACAGAAGACTAATGAAAGGAATATCATTCCAAACAGTGTCAATCATAGTACAAAATTGTCAGGTATTTATAGCTTTTAGTGAGAACGAAATCATCATTAGAGTCTTCCAATCCGCATACAGGGTATTATTAGCATTATCCAATCGGGAAGCTACACATTGGAATTCTAGAACATTCTTCCGAAAGGTGATTGGACGAGACGTCTTCGGCTCCTTCTGAGCCTCTTACAGCTTCCTCGAGTTTACCGGTGGTCCGTCGTCACAATTATTATTATTATTATTATTATTATTATTATTATTATTATTATTATTATTATTATTATTATTAATGGCTTTTTTCAATATTATATGACTTCACATTCCTTGTTTGACCTGAGATCTTCAGGTATCATGATACGATTGAGAAACCAAGTTGCTATTGTATAATTTGTATTTTCCACTTTAGTGAATTTGAGAAATACGGTGAGATCCCCACTCATTGTAATCTGTGAATTGCTGATGCCTCGTCACCGAACTTCATGGACACACCACGAGTTGTCATCAATACTCACTGTTAAACTTTTGTATTATACTTCTATATGTTAATCACTTCTAGTGTTTGCACGATTATCAGTAATATTCACTTCAGTGTTCCTGTGCGACTTCACAGCTTAACTTAAGCATCTTTCAGTCTTCTTATTTAAATGACTAAACGGTATCTCATGCTCTTCACAATGAGATTTGTTCTTAACAAACAAATATCCGTTGCATTATACCATCTTATTGTCAGCATTGCTTTATGAGACTTTCCTAGACCTTGTACATTAATGACTGAAATTAGTGTATGTTTATGCATTCATATCATTTTTTTACTCGTAAATTAAATGTCTTAAATGCATACAATTCTGCCTTTAAACCTTTTAGTCATCAACTCATCGGAATTAAACCACTATGGCGCATATATAATTGTGTGGCGCATATATATTGGCGCTCTCTTGTACCAATATTTATGTGTTAAAATAAATAAATAAATAAATAAACTATTTAAATTGGTCATTGTTACTAGATTCAAAGTTTTATGTACTTGATTTTCATCCTAAAATCGGTTAAATGCACCATTAGCACTAGGTAATTGCTATGTTTTAATCGATTATGAGTTCACCTATTCTGAGAACGAAACAAAGACTCTGTGACCAAAGACCAATACGCTAGCTATTCTGATACGTCCAAGCCCGGCTAACTAGAGAAAGAAGTCCAAGTTCGGAAAAGGGAAATATATATTCCGCAAGCAGCCAGAAGCATGAACAATAACAACAAGCGTATGTATATATACAGCATAAAAATGTCCTCAAGAAGCGTTACAATATAGCATACTAAAAAGATACAACGAACCAATAGCGTTTAAGATCCTCCCAAGTGGGAAATACGACATAAAGACAAAAGTGAGTGCTTTTGGCTCGAAGACGAGAAATTCAAATTTTTAAAATAGAATTACAAAAATAAGTTATTAACTAAGTGAATTCCGGGGATCTAACATCCCAAAAAGTAATGACACTAGTAACGGTATACGGTTGTAGTGAACAAAAACTTAGGTGGGGAAAACCAATTTATTTGTTAATACAAAATTACAGAATGTCTTCGTTAAATACGAAAACCACACATTAAATACTCCATTCGCTCATCTTCCACCAATTATCTCTTACAAACTTGATTCCTATTGTTATTACAATTACCCTCTGTTCCATTCAATTCTATATTCCTAACCTTTTCATGCCAGGCATCTCACTTCTGATTGGTGTTACATACTATTTATGTCGACAGACATAAGTAACATACTGAAGTTCAGAATTATTCAATACTTGTTCAAAATTACGCGTGATTAGTTCGTCACTTGTATAACTATAATTATGTGATTAACCCATTCATCTGGTACTTGGGTATCACTTATTACTCTAAGTTGGAAGGATATATTATACTATTTAGTTGCCTGAACCGAATTAGGTGCGCAGTGTTTGAACTTGGGACTTATTGACTGGAGGTCAAGCGCCTTAACTACTTTTCATTCGTTCCATTCAAGTAATGCTTATATGGATTTTTTTCCATATTAATCTTTGTTTCCGTATTCTCACTTTAACAAACATGATCTCTCATATGTATGTTGTATGAGTTTCATGGTCTTATTGTCGTTTCCTCTTTTTATTTTTGAACAAGGGTTTTCGCTTAATTTTTAATGATGGGACACGATTTGTGTATCGTTTAAGTGGTACAGGCAGTAGTGGTGCAACACTTCGAGTGTATGTTGACACTTATGAATCAGATCCGGCTAAACATACAATTGCTTCACAGGTCAGTCAGTTTTTTCAGAGAGATTTACAAGTGTTTTCATGGTGGTGCACAACATTGAGTATGTATCAAAGTATTTGTGGTATTTTACACACTACCGCTATGTATAATTATATGGTTTACCATCATGGACTGGTTTTGTTCCGATAACTATTAGAAACCGAGAATTAGTGGACAGTAATTTAGTCCTAACATAGGACTCAGTGTCGTTGCACATTCATGACCCCACCGATGAGCTTCCATTCGTTAAGCCGTATTTTAAAAAAAGCCTCAATCGTCCATAAGTAGAATGTACCATACACCGATCAGTAACATGATATTTTACCGAAATTAAAATCATTGAGATCGGTAGACATTTATGTGTGAAAAACCTAATCATGTAAATTAATAGAGTAATGTTGCAATTTATATTATTATTGTTATTACTAATACTAGTTATAATACGTTCGATTACATAGAATAAAATCAACGAGAATAATATATGGGATAAAAATAAACCATTTAATAAGTGAAATTGTGTTGTGATGTTTATTTTCACTAATGTTACTAGATGAGATTCACCGTTCTCTTCTTCTGTATGCTAGCTAAGATCAGGCTGAAACCTTGGCCGTAATGGCCTCTGCATATGGAATGAAGTATACTCATTATTTTTTGTTTCTTATGTAGGTTGAAGGGTTTTCTCTCTGATATTCATTATTGCGCTTTGTATAGATGTGACATTCCATCTTTTAACATACTATAGTGAACGAGAGCACAAGTGGGGGCAATCTAATACGTATGAACTCCAAATTGCAGAATCCCTTAGTAAAATCGGAGAATCATACAGTAAATACTTAATTTGCAAAGTGTCTCGAACCTGACTGTTCCCTTGCAAATGTCAATCAATCATCTCAGACTTCACTGTTCTTTCAATTCCATACTAATTGCTTTCTGTTCCCGTTCTTTCCTTCTCGACCTTTTGCTTCCAGACATTCTATTCCTGACTAGCGGTTTATACTACTTATATCGATATAAGTAGCACATACCACATACTAATGAGCTACTCAGACACATCTAAATTACTGTCCTATGTACGATCAGTTGAAAAGGATCAAACTTATGTACAAAGTTGACAATTACAAGATGTCTTAGTCATGTTGGATGTACATTCCTCTGCCAAGAAATAGGTTGATGACTGATACTCCCTAAACAATGGCAACCATATTTTTTACAAATCATTCTAAAGTAGAACTGATTCTTTAGTAAGCTTTGCTTTCCATCATTTACTTGAATTACCTCCTGGTATTCATAATACGTGTTCTATATCCTATTATGAGTCAGGGCGCTGCAGCGAACTGACAAGTGCTAACCCTACGTATAACTATCCTTTGTTACATTTAACAGATGGCATAATGAAGGATACTTGTATTACATAAGTAGTACTGCATAATCAATATAAACTCGAGAATATAGTAATAATTGTTGACTTGTCAATCATCCAAATGTGTATTTCAGTAGGTGAATATTTCACCATCATGGTGATGATTAATGGTGGATTTAACCGTTTATAATCAAGTTGATACAAAGTTTTATTCATCATAGGTTGATCTCCGTTAGTGTATAGTGCTGTACAGTTATTTCGTTCTAGTACGGAACTCTCCAGTGTTTTGTGCCTACAACTCCACTAGCAATCAAACCCCAGTACATTCAGTTTTTGCAATAAACGCCTAACCGTTAAAACCCCCACTAGGTCGGTGCCCAATGGTACGATTTCGACTTCAATCCATTTGCAATACCACGATGGTGGTAGTGGTCTTTCTTGACTTAAAAGCACCATTTGACTGTATAGACCGCAAGATTCTGTAGCACTGTTTGTTTGAAAGGTGTACCTCAAAAGTACATTAACCTTGTGAAGGCTCCTTACTCGAACAGTACCAGTCGAGTCAGAGCTAATGGCGAACTGTCATCTGGTTTTGCAACCTCAAGTGCTCGCATCTGCTGGGATCAACGGGTAAGTAATAGTGAGGTTAGACGCAGAATATTAGAGAATGATGATAAATCAGTTGATGATTTTGTGAATTTTCATCGGCTAAGATGGTTGGGCCACGTGCTGCGTATGCCTGATCACCGATTACCACGACGTGCAATGCTGACTAGTGTTTTGGGGGTGGTTGGAAGAAAGTTAGGGGTGGCCAAGCCAAAACGTGGCATCAGTACTTGAAGTCACTAACTTCTAGTCTGAGCCATGTTGGTAGATGCAAACTACTTGGTTGGGGTCCACGTGACTATCGTAACCAATTGTTGCATACTCTGGATGACATGGCTCAGAATCGATCACAAACCTTTCAACTAAACGATGTTATTATTGTTCTGGATACTCTGACTCCAAATGTTAGCATTTACCTGTTGGTTTTTTATGCATTTTTGGAAGTATTATTGTTTGTTGTGTGTAATCATAATAATAGTGATAAGATATAATCCATCCTGCATTTATTTTAACTTTTTTCATCCAGGAATATCTGAAACCGCATATTGAATTAGCATTGGAATTATGCGGTGTAACTAAAATCACTGGTCGAATAGCTCCAAGTGTCATCACATAAAACGTCTTATCCTACGAAGCTGTTGATTTTCTACCTTTGCTGCACAACCCATTCATGATGATTAATTAAACATAACACTGATGATTGTCATTCGTAGTCTTTTGGACGTAGAATCGTATGCGATCATGGTAATTAAACGAACCTTGCCCTCCTCCAATCAGCATTGATTCTTATTATTATTACTATTATAAATTCTCCCGTATACTTATATTGTTCCCGTCGGTTAATGATTACTACATCTATCTTGTTCAATCATTTAAATAAAATATCACTATCCCATTCCGATGAACCTGTCGCTGCCGCTGTCATCCTTTTAGTAATATTTAGATGATAAGATCATAATGCATTTGCTCATCGTTTAAATCTTTCTCTATGTCTATCCGCTCTGATTCAACATGTGTTTAAAAGTGATTTTCCCAATAGTAGTTATGCTGAATCATTTGTCTATTTATGGTCATGTTATGTTTTTTTTCAGTAGCTTCTTTTTTAGGTTTCCTCTCTCATTATCTAGTCTTGTTTTTATTTTAAAAAATAGTGTATTTTTCGTGCCTTCAACACTTAATTTCATTGTTTTAGTAGATAATTTTTCAAAAGAGTAATTACACTCCCGCCTACTGATTAATATTACGCAGTGAGACGAACAATCTTTTGGTTAATAATTCAGTGATGCTTTTCGTAGACATTATTATTTTAGTAATAGACAATTGGTGGAAAGCACTGTTTCATATATGTTTCACGCTAGTCGATACTGAACAACATAGTTTATTTGTAATTTTTTGTGGAAACGTGGGTGCTTTTTCCATGTATTTCGATGCTATATAATTCAATACTGAAGACGTCACCAATGAGCTATATGGGACGCCAGGATCGACCTCCTGTAAGTCCAGGATATTTGTGCTAAGTTATCACGCTTCGTGTTTCTTAATCATGATTTCTGACCGAATTCTACTGAACAGTAAAGGTGTACGATTTTTATTGGAAAATCGGATCTCCCTATATTGATAAAATTTGCCAAGTACAGGTTTACATGATAACCTTAGATTCCTATTTAAAGGATAAAGGCTAGAAATACTACTATTGCCACAGACCAATTAGCTAAACCAAAGCAGATCTCATCATAATCAAAATTGAAATTCAGTTTATGAAAAACAGAGACTCTTCATTCTTAAAACATCATTCTAGAACAAATCAATCATGAGCTTTTTTCAAAACCCTGGCGTCTAAAGTTTTCGTTCAAGTCAAAAGCTTTTACATAGTAAAAGAAGTCGATGTATAGTGACTAATTCCATTCAATCGATTGTTGAACGACGATCCGTAGTGTCGCAACCTGGTCTGTGCACGATCGATTCTTACGGAATCCAGCCTGTTGGTCTCGAAGTTGGACGTCTACTGAATCTTCCACTCGGTTCAACAACACTCTATCGAAAACGTTTCCTGGTACCGATACTAGTGTGAAGCCTCTGTGTTTCTAACACTTACTGAGATCCGCTTTCTTTGGTATCTCGATGAGATTTCCTTCTTTTCAGTCTGTCGTCACTTGTTCTTCCTCCCAAATCTTTATGAATAGAATGAGGAGCATGTTCGCAGTTACCTCTATGTCTGACTTCGATGCTTCAGGTGGTATATTTTCAGAGCGTGCTGTTTTCCCACTCTTGATTTGTCTGATGGCCTTGTTGATTTCCTCGACCGTTGTGGAACGACATCTATAGGAAAGTCTGTGTGTTTTGCTTCGATGTCTGGTGAGTTCAATGAAACTGATCTTTTCAAGAGTTCTTCAAAGTGTTCTACCCATCTGTTCCTTTGTTCCTGAATCTGAGTGATTGGCATGCCTTCTTTGTCCTTGACCGGTCTCTCTGCTTTACCATATTTCCCTGCCAGTTTCTTCGTTGTATGATATGGTTGTCTCATATTTCCTTCTCTTACAGCTTTTTCCTCTTGTAGCTTCTTTTTCTTTGGGTAGATCTTGCAAGGCTTGGTAACTGTTGCTGAGAGCTATCTTGACGTCGTTGATTTTGTCAGGATTTCGAAGGAAGGCTGTATCGAACCCTTGTAATGCTGTTTCCCCAGCTGTCCATTGCTTCTTTAGCTTCAGTTTTATTGTAGTAGCCACGATCAGGTGGTGATCTAAAGTTATGTCAGCTCCTCTCCTGGTTCTCACGTTTCCCATTGACCTTCTGAAATTTTTATTGATGCAAAGATGATCGACCTGATTCTCTGTAGTGTGATCCGGTGATAGCCATGTAGCTTTGCGTTTGTGGGGGAATGTTGTGCCGCCTATAACCTCTTTGTTGGATGCACATAAATTTGCAAATCTGTCACCATTCTCGTTCCTTTCTCGCAGTCCATGTCGTCCCATGATATCTTCATATCCGGTGTTGTCCATCCCGACTTTTGCGTTTAGGTCTCCCATCAGGATGGTCAGGTCCTTTATTGAACACTTCGCTATGATCGATTGCAGCCTCTCATAAGACTGATCGTCTTCATTGTTATCATTGGTGGGTGGATAACACTGGATAGTATTGAGTGTGATTCCCTTCTTCTTTATTTTGAAAGATGCTTTGATGATCCCGGATCCATCAGACTCCCACCCTTTAAGCGCTTTTCTTGCTTCTTTGGAAAGCATCAGTTCAACTCACTGCGTGTGCGAAGTACTCACTTCTTCATGACCAGAGTACAACAGCATCTCTCCTGAGTCCAGTTTTTTCTGTTCAGTTTGGGTCCAATGGGTTTCGCTGATTCCGAGCACCGTTGAGTTGTATCTCCTGATTTCCGTAGCCATTTGATTAATCCTCCCGGGAACTACAGCAACCCTAGAAGAGCTACAGGTGTAGTTGCATACAAAAGTTAGACACCTAAATTGTTCCTCTGGAAATAAGCTCAATTTAAAAGTTTTGCATTGGTTACTAACAAATGTATCATATGAAATAAATTCTTCATCAGGTCTTTTATCAATTCTAAGAAAATTATATCGCAAGTTAAATAAAGAAGTCTGAGTAGTGAAAATCTCTGTTAATTTTTGTACATTAGGATCAAAATAAAAATGTTGGGCTTTTTTGGCAAAATAAGATTTGAATACCTTTTATGTTCAGTTACTCCAAGTTTCCGAAGTAGATTTCTCACCTTCGAAGTGTTACCATGATGTGTAAAATCATTTTGGAAAATGTCTTGATATCTCTTGAACCATGATTGAAATGTGATACCTGTGCCAGGATCAGAATGAAACTCGCTCATTGTATTGACTAGTGATTCGGTAGTTGAGTCCCTTGATTTGGGCACCTTTGTTGAGTTTTCTTGAATTGACAACATTTGTATCATCATTTCGATCATTTTCGATTGTGATGCTTGAAATTTTTTTGTTGCTGCTGCAGAATTGACTTAAGCTAATCTGCTGAAATAGAAATTTTGGAATTTAATTTATTTTCACGTGGGTTTGATGAAAATAACGTATCCAGAAACTGTTGTGATGGGAGGTGTTCGAAATCTGATACTGATACGCGGTGTGCTATGCGCTGACCCCCCAAATGACTATTTGAGCGCAAACATAAGGCATAATACTCAAACGTGTGTTTTTATAACTAAAGAGCATTACTAAAATACCCATTGATTGTTTACTAAGGAAAGTATTTAACTTTGAAATGGTTACTTGTTGTTCTTATTGACATTCCTGAATGCTAAAAACGGTTCTAGAGCATATTTTGTGGGGGTTTTTTTTAAAGCAAAATCTAGATATTTTATCTCAGCCGAATACATCCTTCACATACATCATGTTTAGGTTAGTAATAAACAATGTACAGCTGAATAGCACTGAACATTCTATTTATTCTTATTTGAGACTATTCAACTGTGTTCATACATGAGCATTCAGGTCTTTTAGTGACTACAGTACTTTTAAATAATTGAGTTGGAATTCAACGGACATAATCCGAGTTTTCAAAAAGAGTGCTTAATTTGTACTGTAAAATCTCTGTTCGCACCATGAGGTGTTATAATTCCTGTAAATGAATATCGTTTAAATCGAATGGCTGAGTTTAAATTGTTTAATTTGTTTATTCTGTTTAGCATTTTTTTTTAGCAAGGTTGTTTTCTATCTGATTGAGTTGCTGATTACATTCCCATTCTTCCTGTTATATCTGGACTTAGGATCTGCTGTTTATACATTTTGAACCCAACAATATTTCACTTGCTTCTCAAAGCAAACGAAATAGACAGTATTTCAGTTGTACCTCTTTTGCATTTCAAAGAACGTACTTTGATACCTCAACCCTCAGCTAAGTAATCCATTGTTTCTAGTTCTATGTTCTATGTTTTAGGGAAACATAGTTCTGTAATTATTTTTTTACAAAGGATCTTTGATTTCCAAATTTATGACTTATTTGTTAAAACATTATCTAGTATGGACCAAGTAATTGGTCCAACCAATTCTTTATTGCTAGATTGACTTTTGGAAATGGATGATTGCCATTGTAATGTTTCTACCATTGATTATTTTCGCTTACGGATTCCTGAAATGTCATCGTGAGTCCGTGACCGGTGAAAGTGATACTTGTCAACCATGAGTCCGATTTCACCAGTGGGAAATGGTAATAGTCTTGTAACATTGAAAATTGACAAGAGTTAAACATAAATAAAATAATATATTCTTAATATGCCGATGAGTAGAAAATTAGATTTTCTAACGTTTAGTGACTCAGTGTAAGCCAATTCTCCAGAAAATAAATAACCAGATCAAAATTAATCCTAGTTTAAATAATACTAAGAAAGGACGCAAGATTATTATGTGCGATCAATCAAAACACAGGTCTGAACAAGTTAATGTCATGTCATTTCGGTCTAGGTGATTTATAAGCGACATGTATGTAAATTTGTGTGTTTATATGTGCAAGGTCAGGGATGAGAAAATGTGAACTTTGTGGTGCGAAAGGATACAGTTTAATTTGTGTATACGATAACAGTATGAAATGTAAATAATGTCAGATATGGTAACTTGAATAAGTAGTCCAAGTCGGATGTATAGTTAGAATTGAAAACGTTAACTACTCAATGCCAACTCAGTAATCTCGATGATAAGCACTGTATTCGAGTCCTGAAAGGTGTTGGGTTCATTTCCTGGTGTGGTCGTGGCCCCCAATGCCCTCGTACGACCGAGAGTTGGGAGAGTCCGCTCTCCCTCTCGAAATACTCTGACATGGCGACGCGTATTTAGCCTCTACCAGGGAAGTCCTACTCATTGCCTTCCCACACCAGGGATGTTGTTTACGAAATTGAGAGGATAGAGAGCGAATGTCCGGCGCTTTAACCGGGTTGGTGGACCTGGAGAGTCTACTCAGGGGATTTGGAAAACCCTGATTCCAAACCAATGGTGCACATGGGCTCCAGTATCCTGCGGAAACAAATGGTGTAAGAACCGATTTTCGGTCACCGGCTACCATGGGACTGCATCTCCTTACGATGCTTCACTGCCTTTTGGATCAGACCTTCAAGTCTAAGGCTCGGGGTGTGGCTCCCTAAGAAAACCACTTGCTTCGGTTTGTTCACCTGAGCAGTATCATAGCCCTCACATATATCAAATGTGATTTGTGTGGCGTATTTGGTGCTTCCTTGTATCAATATCTATGTGTTAAAATAAGTAAATAAATAAATTCCTATACTAGGCAAAAATAGCTATCCAGTGTTTCCCGGTTTAAAATGGTCGTCTAACTGAAGTAACCACATAAGGTAAAATTATATAATTTGTTATTTAAATCATATCGATATATAGCACTTTAATCGGTTTTTCATTTCGATTAAATACCGATGGATCACCTAGAAGTTTGCATGTAGAGCCCGGTAGCTTAATTATTTAAGCACTGTATCTTTGTCTCAGAATGATATCCTGTTTAATTTATATGTGTTGAGACGATCAGTGAGTATCATTGTTCTTCGTACAATAATATATGGCATGGTTCGATGCTTCGGTGATTAGAACACTTTACTGTCGACCATTGCAGGTTTCTGTGTGAAACTCTTCTCCATCTAATTCGATTTAAATAAATATGTATTGTCAGTAGACTTCACATAAATTGTCCTGCTATATATACACGTATATTTATTCTTATTTTAAGAAATTTTACCACTTTGTAAAATTCTTTTTTAAATAAATAAATAGATTCTCGTAATGTTTTGTTCTGATTTCTTTTTCTCTAAGCTGTGTGAATCACTGTTTTAATGTTATAGTATTTATTATCGCATAAAGAAATGTAAATGATATTGATTGGTGATAAATAAAATATGGCTATTTAGGCATTCAAACTTTAGTATTATCAAACTGACACTCACCTACTAGAACTATATGTCTTAATTCCAATTTTACATGCATTTAGTTAATGAATTACAGTATTATGGATTTTCTTTCTACCTTTCTGGTGTATTCATGCGGAACTATTAAAGTTTTATTATACCGTCACCTTGATCTCAAATCACTGGTTTTCCTTTTGTTATAATCGTCCTTTGAAATACAGTGGGTTTATGAACAAGATAGACAACTTTCAACCATCAATTCATGTGTCTAAATAACGTCTCAGTTTGGTCAAACAGTCAGGGTATCAATTATGTTTGGGGATGACGACTAGTCGCATGAATTCGAACTCGGTCATTGTGTAGTTGTTTTACTGTCCATAGAATAATTGTCTCATAGTTTAGTCAGTCAACTTCCAGTCGTTATTGTGTCACCGATTTGAATCCAGTCGGAATTCGGTTTGGACAGTCAAATTGTATTATACTATGCCTGATGCATAAAATATATGACTTCAAACTAGATGCATATGTGCATATTCAATCTCATTCACATTGGTTAGTTTTCCATAGTTATTTGACATAATTGTAATCATTTCAGCCTTCCTATGACTGACCATACAGTCATTTGACAAATTCGTAGTGGTCTGTTTTTCATATGAAAATATTAAGTCCTAATAAAAGTATTGCACGATATCTTCAATTGACTGAAGTTAGGCATTAACATTGGACCCACCTGTCAACAGTCTAGGGATTCGCGCACGAAGATTAGAGTCCTAGGTTAGATTCCCGTTTGCGGACCATGTTGTGGGTGCATACTGCTGAGATGTCTCATTCTAGGATGAAATCTCTGCTTCGTGCTTTCAGGTTCTCAATGTTGATTTAGCTCAATTCAGTTCGTGATGTAAATTGAAAATTTTACAATCTCCAAAAACTTCTTATACTTAAATATAACAACATGAAGTTTCTGCCATTTGGATTTTATAAAATTCATAACTGTTTAGTAAACTAGAAGCTATCTGGACTCCGTAGCTCACTAAAAAATGCATTGGCATTCGAAGCAAATGTACTGGGATTGAGTCCTAATGTAAACATCCACATCATGATTCAGGCGCATCCAATTCACGATTCCTAAGTAAGACGAAATGACTATCTTTGACTCCACTGTTAGCTATAATCTATTCTATCTATAGAGGAAATGGATAAAATGTAAGGAGGGAGTAGCAGTAGCATTAAAATACAGCGGGATACTAACTGTAGATTAACATCATTAAACGAATCCCCTTAACTCAAAACATCTACACATAGTGTTAGAAATAAGGTCTTTGACTGATTCTTGAAATATCTGTAACCAGTAGAATGACATCTCAAACGAGTTTTTCGATTAAAAATAAGTGTATTATGTGAAAAATAATTTTCGTATTATTTTTTTCCTAGTTACCCATTAATTCACCCAGTCGTCATAAGTCATCCAAATCTAATGAGTTTTGTCTTGATTCAGAACATCGTACAGTACATTTTAATCAAATGGTTAATGAAGACCATTCATCTAGTAGTAATTTATCAACCACAATTTCTTCAAATCCTCATCCATTGCATGTTGCAAGAAAAGTTAGCTTTTCTGATCTACCTTTAGTGATTAATGTCGAAGAGCGTCAACTAGATGGCTTACATCAATCTTGTATCACTACTGAGGACGAAGTTATCTACGGTGATGATGATTCCGGTCATCATATTGAAGTCCGTCTATTGAATCGAGATATCGATGAAATGCCGACCTTGCCATCAGAATTGAAAAATAAACCTGTATTTGAAATAAAACTTGGAATGCTTAAACAAGCTACAGTTTATCGGACAGAATTTACAATACCGGATAATTTGAAGTCAGGTGAATTGGAAATTCTACGAACTGTTGCAGAAATGGATGGTCATGTTGGTGTACCAGTTAATGTCGGTGCTTCATTTAATTTACTAAGCTGTGAACCTATCCCTTCACCTGGTCACGGTAAGACGGATGAATTAGTATTCTTTCTTTTTTTACATAATTTACTTATTATGTAATAATCATTAAACGCAAAGATGGATGGTGACTAACAGTAAAATCCAGAACGCGCGTCTCATTCTATTTGCGACTCACCGGCTTTATGTACCTGGATCTCGGAGTCGATGTTCACTCCGAGACTTGAATCCAGCCTATTTGCTTCAAGCACCTAACGCGTCACTCACTTAGCTACTAAGTCCAGATAGCCACTGGCTTATGTAATGGGGTGAATTTTCATTCATTCATATTGTTAGTTTGGATCCTCCCATTGGTATTTAGGACTGCTATTGATCAGTCTCCTTTGACATATGTGCGTCCTGTGTGGTTTACTTCGGTATTTCTATTCAGTCACAAGCAGATTTAGGTTTCAGATTTTCATTATTCTTAGGAACAATCGCTTAGCCAATATCTTAATGGTAATAAATACCATTACTGTTGTATGGTGATTTGGATTAGTTTGGATATATAAAGAAATTTACACTTCTTCCACTCCTTACTTCCTGCGTATCTAAGCTATCGCTCAACTATTTAAAAATTACCTCTAACCGTATTTGTGGGTTTCAAGTATACTCCCATTTCCAAACAGCCTGAATGGAATACTGAAGTAGGTCCCACAACTCTCATTGAAGTTCAAAAAGCTATAACTAATCTGGAATGAGAAAGAGCAGTTGGTCTAGATGGATTGGCTCCAGAGGTCTTTAAGTATGGTGGTCTAGTTTTAGCGATTAGGTTGACTAATATTTTAGCTAAAATGTGCGAAATGAATGTAATTCCATCTAACTGGTCGTAATCACTGATTGTCGCAATATATGAGAAGGGGTCAAAATCACCCTGTGATAATCATAGCATCTAAAATACTAGCGTCAGTAGTTATCGGATGCCTAACTAAGACTCATGAACTGCAAACATGAAATCAGGCTGGCTTCAGATCTGGTGGTGATTGCATCGACCACATATTCACCATTCGCCAGATTTTGGAACACAGGCATGCTTATCGGTGTTGGACAACTATAGCTTTTCTTGACCTAAAAGCACCATTTGACTGTATAGACCGCAAGATTCTGTAGCACTGTTTGTTTGAAAGGTGTACCCCAAAAGTACATTAACCTTGTGAAGGCTCCTTACTCGAACAGTACCAGTCGAGTCAGAGCTAATGGCGAACTGTCATCTGGTTTTGCAACCTCAAGTGCTCGCATCTGCTGGGATCAACGGGTAAGTAATAGTGAGGTTAGACGCAGAATATTAGAGAATGATGATAAATCAGTTGATGATTTTGTGAATTTTCATCGGCTAAGATGGTTGGGCCACGTGCTGCGTATGCCTGATCACCGATTACCACGACGTGCAATGCTGACTAGTGTTTTGGGGGTGGTTGGAAGAAAGTTAGGGGTGGCCAAGCCAAAACGTGGCATCAGTACTTGAAGTCACTAACTTCTAGTCTGAGCCATGTTGGTAGATGCAAACTACTTGGTTGGGGTCCACGTGACTATCGTAACCAATTGTTGCATACTCTGGATGACATGGCTCAGAATCGATCACAAAGATGTTGGTGTTTACTCTGTTTGTCTTCCCTTAAAACATGAGGTTAAATTACTTTATACCTTTCTATTAACTAATTTGTTCTCCCTGTTGTTATGACCTTGGTATGTCTGGGTTTGCTATCACGCGACCTATCGACCAATCCGAATACGACTTATATGAATCTTCACACTAGGCCAACCAATGACGTTCAACCGGTGTGGGCAGTCTAGCGTCCTTATTGGTCCTATGCCCTCCGAGCCTTTCCACTTGAGTCCAGAACACAATACCAGCTTCGAATCAGAGCAGATCATTTATCTCAATCATACTCGGTTTATATATCAAACAGACAGACCACAACACACCATAAATTAGAAAATAACATGTGTACACAAATAAGCCAAAAAGTGGCTGTGAACGAGGGAGATAATAATTAATAGACTGAACATAGATCAAGAACCGTAAATCGTACAATAATAAATTATAGATCAAAATAAAGCTTACAATAATATGAATATAAATTTATATAATCTAATTATTCAATAGTTTTACAATAAGAATATTTATAGAATATTAGTCCATTAATAGTCTTCGGGAGTTACCTGTAATTTAATCATCGCTCGGATATAACACCTGTATTATGTCCTTATATGCAATCTTTTATATATATATTACTACCATTGAAGTAACTGCTTCTATGAATATGGTGTTCGTCTTGTTGTGCTATTAAAGTGTGGCACCTTGGACCGATGCATATATGCACCTGGTCCCACGTTGTAGCTGATTGACTGACCTACCCACATCGATTTTAATGGGAAGTTGTAATTTGTATAGTTAAATAGCAAATCATAGTCGACATATCAAGCCTGGCAATTTTTCTCGTTGTCAAATTTACCGTATCACATTAGCGAAACTTGGCGAGTTGCAAAATCAATCAAAATAATATAGTAGTGAGAATAACAAGAACTACTGACTATTGAGGAACTGTCTTGAAATGGCGATAAAAGGGTTTACATGAAAGTGTCGTGGATTTCAGGATTGAAAGGAAGATAAATTGTGAATACGTCTACACCATTGTGAACGATTCAGAGCCATGTCATCTAAAGTTTCTAACCAGTGATCGTGGTTATTGTGTGGACCTCAACCAGTTAGTCTGCATCTACCAACATGGCTCAGACCAACACCCAGTGGCTTCATGGAATGATGCCATGTTTTGGTTTGACCTCCCCTAACTCTGCCAACGTACTCTTATAGCATCAGGCATCGCTTGCTGAAGTAAGCAATGATTAGGCATAGGTAACACATGTTCTAACCATTTCAATCGATTAGGATTTTTGCGTATCAAGTTTGTTGCATTTATTTTACAGTCAATTATTGAATGAAAAGGTTTACTACACTTTGTTCGCTCTGTGAGTGTGTTTTCTGTATGTTACCATGTTCATCTATTTGTCTTCTCATGTTTGCTTAATTTTTCATTATTCTGTTCATATAGGTCATATAATAATTATGGAGATTTCAACTACAAAACAATCACGTGTCAATGAGTTAATCACATTACGTCGAGTCGAAACTATAACAGATGCTGTTTGTCTACTTTTGCATGGTATTTCTTTAGGTAAGTTCAATTAATTCACATTTTTTCACTCTTTCACTCATACACTTTAAAAATATCTAAATTTACTGGTTCAATGAATATTATATATAATGTGTAATGTGAAGAAAATTCTTATTATTAAATTGCATCAATTAGAAAACTACTAAGTTTGCTTATGCGGCCTAGTATTCTTGAACACTTCACTCCACTCGACCGGTTTTCAAATAAAAACACTACTTGAACATAACGTAAATATATTCCAAAGCAAAACAGCAAGTGACAAAATCCCAATGCGTGTCTAAACTGTACGCAGGAGTATTTCAGAGTCTCAGCCCTAGGTGGGAATGATTCAGACGTTTTCAGTCTCATCTCAGCCCTTAAACAATATTGTTATTTAGTGCATTTTATATCACTCACGAATTTGTTGATTTCATCGATCGAGATCTTTTCCACGTATAAAAGTATATAAATCCATCTGAATATTAGTCGTTAGTGTAGGCATAGAATTATTTCTGACATTGAGTTTACCTATGAAGAGATCATTTTTAGTTTGAAAATGTACATTTGATATATGAGGACTGGCTGTGAATTATAGAACACTTACTTATTTATGCTTGTCACTACTCGAGGAGGACCATAGGACACCTATCAGGGTTCGCCATCGAAATCTGTTCTAGACAATCCTTCCCAGTTGCTATTCTTCCTTTCCTTGTCTGCCTCCCATTCCTGACGCAATGTGTTCTTTGACCTTCCTCTTCTACCCTTGCCTTCAGGATTCCAAGTTAGTGCTTGCCTCGTGATGCAGTTTGGTGATTTCTTCAATGTATGTTCCATCCTCATCCAACATCTTTTCCCAATTTCCTCTTCAACTGGAAGCTAGTTTGTTCTCTTCCATAGTAGGTTGCTGCCTATAGTATCCGGCAAACAGACATTGAGTATCTTGCGTAGAACACTGTTTATAAATACCCTTGCCTTTTTGATGATAGTTGTAGTAGTTCTTCACGTTTCACCTCCGTGTAATAGAACTGCATTGACGTTCGTATTGAAGATTCTGACAGTTGTTTTTAGTCCCATATGCTCTTCGATTGTGGAAATACTTCCCTTGCTTTGCCGATTCATGCATTAACATCTGTATCATATCATCCTTGTCTGTCGATGATGCTGATTAGATACGTGAAAGCTTATATCCCTTCCACAGCTTCTCCATCAAGTGTGACTGCGTTGGTGCTCTTTGTGTTGTATTTGAGGATCTTGCTTTTCCCTTGTGTATGTCGAGGCCTACTGCTTCAGAGGTTGATGCTATACTAGCTGTGTTCATCTGCGTTTGTTAGTGTGTATGGGATAGAAGGGCTAGGTCATCTGTGAATTCCAACTCGTCTAATTGCATCCGAGCTGTCGATTGTATTCCGTGCTTCCCCTCAGACGTCGAGATCTTCATAATGCAGTCAATCACTAGAGGAAAGAGAAAGGAAGAGAGTAGACAACTTTGTCTGACACTGGTTATCAATTGGAGTGCATGTGTCACATGTCCTCCATGCACGACTTTGAAGTGTAATCTGTCATATGAATTCCGTATGGTGTTGACGATCTTCTCAGACACACCATAATGTCGAAGAAGGTTCCTTAATTTCCTCCTATCTACACTGTCAAGAGTTTTCTCATAATCAAGGAAGTTGATGTATAGTGACTAATTCCATTCAATCGATTGTTGAACGACGATCCGTAGTGTCGCAACCTGGTCTGTGCACGATCGATTCTTACGGAATCCAGCCTGTTGGTCTCGAAGTTGGACGTCTACTGAATCTTCCACTCGGTTCAACAACACTCTATCGAAAACGTTTCCTGGTACCGATACTAGTGTGAAGCCTCTGTGTTTCTAACACTTACTGAGATCCGCTTTCTTTGGTATCTCGATGAGATTTCCTTCTTTTCAGTCTGTCGTCACTTGTTCTTCCTCCCAAATCTTTATGAATAGAATGAGGAGCATGTTCGCAGTTACCTCTATGTCTGACTTCGATGCTTCAGGTGGTATATTTTCAGAGCGTGCTGTTTTCCCACTCTTGATTTGTCTGATGGCCTTGTTGATTTCCTCGACCGTTGTGGAACGACATCTATAGGAAAGTCTGTGTGTTTTGCTTCGATGTCTGGTGAGTTCAATGAAACTGATCTTTTCAAGAGTTCTTCAAAGTGTTCTACCCATCTGTTCCTTTGTTCCTGAATCTGAGTGATTGGCATGCCTTCTTTGTCCTTGACCGGTCTCTCTGCTTTACCATATTTCCCTGCCAGTTTCTTCGTTGTATGATATGGTTGTCTCATATTTCCTTCTCTTACAGCTTTTTCCTCTTGTAGCTTCTTTTTCTTTGGGTAGATCTTGCAAGGCTTGGTAACTGTTGCTGAGAGCTATCTTGACGTCGTTGATTTTGTCAGGATTTCGAAGGAAGGCTGTATCGAACCCTTGTAATGCTGTTTCCCCAGCTGTCCATTGCTTCTTTAGCTTCAGTTTTATTGTAGTAGCCACGATCAGGTGGTGATCTAAAGTTATGTCAGCTCCTCTCCTGGTTCTCACGTTTCCCATTGACCTTCTGAAATTTTTATTGATGCAAAGATGATCGACCTGATTCTCTGTAGTGTGATCCGGTGATAGCCATGTAGCTTTGCGTTTGTGGGGGAATGTTGTGCCGCCTATAACCTCTTTGTTGGATGCACATAAATTTGCAAATCTGTCACCATTCTCGTTCCTTTCTCGCAGTCCATGTCGTCCCATGATATCTTCATATCCGGTGTTGTCCATCCCGACTTTTGCGTTTAGGTCTCCCATCAGGATGGTCAGGTCCTTTATTGAACACTTCGCTATGATCGATTGCAGCCTCTCATAAGACTGATCGTCTTCATTGTTATCATTGGTGGGTGGATAACACTGGATAGTATTGAGTGTGATTCCCTTCTTCTTTATTTTGAAAGATGCTTTGATGATCCCGGATCCATCAGACTCCCACCCTTTAAGCGCTTTTCTTGCTTCTTTGGAAAGCATCAGTTCAACTCACTGCGTGTGCGAAGTACTCACTTCTTCATGACCAGAGTACAACAGCATCTCTCCTGAGTCCAGTTTTTTCTGTTCAGTTTGGGTCCAATGGGTTTCGCTGATTCCGAGCACCGTTGAGTTGTATCTCCTGATTTCCGTAGCCATTTGATTAATCCTCCCGGGAACTACAGCAACCCTAGAAGAGCTACAGGTGTAGTTGCATACAAAAGTTAGACACCTAAATTGTTCCTCTGGAAATAAGCTCAATTTAAAAGTTTTGCATTGGTTACTAACAAATGTATCATATGAAACAAATTCTTCATCAGGTCTTTTATCAATTCTAAGAAAATTATATCGCAAGTTAAATAAAGAAGTCTGAGTAGTGAAAATCTCTGTTAATTTTTGTACATTAGGATCAAAATAAAAATGTTGGGCTTTTTTGGCAAAATAAGATTTGAATACCTTTTATGTTCAGTTACTCCAAGTTTCCGAAGTAGATTTCTCACCTTCGAAGTGTTACCATGATGTGTAAAATCATTTTGGAAAATGTCTTGATATCTCTTGAACCATGATTGGAATGTGATGCAGAATTATGTGATAATAAAGAAAGATATGAATTGAGGAAAAACGAGAAGAATATAATGAAATTTCAGAAAGGGTTGAAATAATGAATGACTCAATAAAAAGGATGTAATGTTACCAGGGCAAAGAAAGATTTTTTACTTCTTCTTTTTGGATAAATGGATCTGGTTTTAGACTTCTGATCGTTATCGCTTCGGCAGATTTTGGATGATTGGAGTTTGATTGTTTATTAATCACCTTGAAGGACTTCAGTGTATCGACCTGATGTCATGTTTCAAGATGTTTTGAGATTGCACTGCTGAATGCTTCTAATTCATTTGACCTCGGATTTTTCAGAATATGTTCTTTGAATCGGACGTAGACTCTCCTTCCTGTTGTACCAATGTAACTGCTTTGGAAGATACATGTGATTTTGTATTCATAGTTGGTGGTAATATGAAAGGGATACCTATCGACATTTGTGTTAAAGAGCATGTTGTTTTGGATAGGACAATCAATTTAGCTGCTTGATAAGTTCTTGTCGATGCAGTTTTTAGCCTCACACTGATTGGCCCTGTCACATCATCACCTTTCAATTGATGTTGAATAAAAATAGGTTTTTTTGCTTAATGTAGTTTCTTTGGGTCTTTTATCTTCATGTTTTGTATATTTCTCAATGAATTTCAAGGGTATCCGTTGTTTCTTAAACACTTATTTACATTCATTCTTTCCTATTCTAGCGTATCGGCAGAACATATACTTTTTGTTCTGTGTGATAGTGTTTTAACAAGTGCCTTTTTGTAACTGATTGGACAAAAGCTATTGAAATAGAGATGAATCTCATTCCATGTGTCTTTCCTATAAACTGAACGTTGAACTGTGCCATCCTTCCTTCGTTTTATTTCGATATCGAGAAAATGGAACTTGTTTTCATTTTTATGTTCCATAGTAAACTAGATATTTTTATGGGCTTCATTGAAGAGTTCCCACAGATTTGTTGCATGTTATTGATTATTACAGACGATGAAGGTGTCCCCAACATACCTCAAATAATACACCACTTCGTCAATCGCGGGGGCGGCCAAACCAAAACGTGGCATCAGTACTTGAAGTCACTAACTTCTAGTCTGAGCCATGTTGGTAGATGCAGACTACTTGGTTGGGGTCCGCGTGACTTGAAACGTCATCAATTGAGATGGCTGGGACACGTGTTACATGTTCCCATCCACCGACTGCCCCGCCAGGCGATGTTTTATGGTGTAGGAGTAGGCTGGAAGAAAGCTAGGGGCGGCCAGACCAAAATATGGCACAAATTCATGAAGTCAAAACGTGGCATCAGTACTTGAAGTCACTAACTTCTAGTCTGAGCCATGTTGGTAGATGCAAACTACTTGGTTGGGGTCCACGTGACTATCGTAACCAATTGTTGCATACTCTG